GGGCTCAGGCCATCCACTCACCTCAGCCTCCCAAAACGCGGGATTACAGGCTGAGCCACCGAGCCCGGCTAGTTACATCCATTCTTAAGTCACTTAATTTATATTTAAATTTAATGTGATGTAGGGACCACTCTGAAGGTTGCTGGAATGAACGAAATATTAGGAGAACAAAAAGCATAAAAATTTACTTCGCGTGCTTAGGGGAAAATCGCAGGAGAGTGATTATCCAACAACCCAATGAAGTCCAGATGTTTATATGCCCTTCTTTTTTGGGTAGAGGGAGACGGGGGTATGAATGGACTCCCTCAAACCAGACAATGGTTTATAAATAACTCTCTGGAGGCTGAATGGGGCTGAAGGGCAAACAATAGCTTGTGGACAAGTTGTAAAACTTCATCGTGAACAAAGTTTGTTTCCTTGTTTCCCAGCTAATCTCTTGGAGCTGCCCTTGGAATTATAGGTGAAAAGTCTGTCTGAGGATGGGAGTGACATGTAGTCTCTTCTCTTTGGTTAATCTTCTCTGGTTATTTAATACAATTCCTGGGGAGGTGTGTTAAGAGGATTGCATTTCTTTGGGAAATACGTTTTTTTCAGTCAGATAAGGAAATTCCAAAGAAAGCCCCTCCTTCTGCTTAAGAAAAGTAAGAGAATCAGAGACAGGGGTTGGAGAAAGGTCAGAGAAAGAGACCTTGGTTTTGAGGCTTATTTATGAGATCCTTTTAATTTCCTTTAATTCAAAGTATTTCAGCTGGGTGTGGTGGCTGCAGTCTGTGATCCCAGCATGCTTTGGAAGGTTGAGGCACTTTGGGAGGATCGCTTGAGGTCAGGAGTTTGAGACCAGCCTGGGCAACATAGCAAGATTATGTCTCTAAAAAAATTTTTTTTCTTGTAATTGCCAGGGTATAGTAGTGACTGCCTGTAGTCCCAGCTATTTGAGAGGCTGAGATGGCAGACTCCACCTAGTGTCCAGAGTTCAAGATTACAGTAATCAAGATCATACCACTGCACTTCAGTCTGGACAACAGAGTAAGACTATCTCTAAAATATAAAGTGAAATAAACAAAGTACTCAGCATGCCAAAGCACCATATTTTCGAATATCATTGCTTGAGCTCCAACAGTGACAAAAATAATCAGCTGTCATATGGAATATGTTAAACTTTTGCTAGTAAAAAATGAGGGAACATAGACACAAAACTTATATTCTGTAGTAAAATAAGCCAACACCAACTTCAAGGTACTGTTATTTTATGTATCACCAAGTAAAGGAAAAAGGCACTGATAAACTATGTTTTTTAAATATGTTAATTTTGCTCTTTCTGTCATCTTCCTGTGCTGTCCTAATGGTATTGATAGGAATTTTTTACATCAGCCTGGGCGGCAAGAGTCAGCACAATGGGTGGACCAGCAGACCCCCAGAGAGGGCCATGGAGGAACTGGTAAGCCTTGCCCCAGAAATATCAGCTCTAATGGGTTGGCAAGCCAAGCCCTGAGAGTGTTGCCATTAGGTGAACTAGCAAGCCTAGCCCCAGAAGTATCAGCTCTAACGGGCTGATAAGCAAAGCCCTGAGTATTGCGATTTGGTGGGCTGGCAAGCTTAGTCCCCTGTGTGTTTCAGCTTTGGAGTTTTGCCTTCTCCTGGCATCTGGCTCCATCAGCTGGTTCAGCTGGCTTCATCAACTAGCAAGCCAGCCTCTGGAGTGCATGGTTCTTCAACTCCCACAATCTGCAGTTCTTCAGGTTACACCTCTTAAAGAGTCAAAGTTCTTGTCACACACCTAAGAAGAATATGAAACATGAAAAGCCAAAAAAATGAGAAAGCATGATCTGAGAGGACAGAAGAAGCACTCACAACAAGAAGGGACGACCAAACCCTTGCCAATTTGGAGTTGAAGCTGGGTGATTATATAGCCCTCAGTCCAAGCCGATTGGCTAGCACTAGTTGTGAGCTGATTGGTTCACACTTAGCAGTGCCTATTGGCCAGTTCTAAGGACCAACTGGCAAGAGGTAGGGGTCTAATGTGAGCTGATTGGTTGCTTTTAGACCCCAGCAGTGAGTACTTAAGCTCTAGCTTGAAATGCTGGCAGGGAACTTGTTTACCAATGCTGAGCCTGAGAGCTCTGTGGGCATATTTTGTTTCCAGAGAACCTGCCTATCCTTTCTCTAGCTATCTCTTGTCTCAATACACATGAATATCCTCTTGAGAGCATCAACTATTCCAAAAATAAAAAAATTTTTAAAAGAGGCAAACATCAGGTTCGTATTAGGCCATTCTCTAAAGTCATTGTCTGGTTTCTAAGTGTAGTGATAAAGTCTGTTTACCTTGATGAATTTGAAATCGTTGATGATCACAGAGCTGGGAAAATTGTGAATTTCACAGATAAGTTAAACAAGTCTGGAGTAATCTGGTGATCCTTCCACCTCAGCCTTCCAAGTAGGTGGAACTATAGGCACAAGCCACTATCCCTGGCTAATTTTTTGATTTATTGTAGAGATGGGAGTCTCACCAAGTTGCTCAGGCTGGTCTCGAATCCCTGGGGTCAGGCAATCCTCTCACCTTCGCCTTCCAAAGTTCTGGGTTTATGGGTGTGAGCCAGTGTGCTTGGCCACCTGACACTTTTTAATGATTATGAGCTGAAAGGTTGGGTTGTCCTAGTCTTACAACGGATGGAATTTTCTTTTGATTTACCAAGGGGTTGGGGTAGGCTGCCAGTTTGGCCTGCAGCAAAACGTAATTTTAAAAATCACTGAAGGCTTCCTAAAACCTACCCATGGGAAATTTATCTATCTATGTGTAACCTGTGCTTGCTACCCTGCCTCAACTGCGCCCAGCCTAAGAATTTGAAATTTAATCTGAGAAGGGTAGAAGCCATTAAGGGACTTTGAGCAGATAGGTAATAATCTGATCTGTGCTTAGATGTATCACTCTGATTGTGTGGGGAAAAGACTGTAGAGTTGCAAGTGGGGAAACAGAGAAATGGTGATGATGAGCTAAAGTGCTATATAAATTCTTAATGGTGATGACTGGGCTAAGATGGGGATGGTGGAGAAGGGAAAATGGGATAGGCTTGGCACTGATTCAGAAACCCACTAATGTCTGTCCAGATTCCTAGAGAAGGGCATGGCCAGGATTCAAATGTTCTTGCACATTACTGTGATTCCCCTTGTCTTCTATGCACTCCCAGTAAGTAGCTTTAGGGGATCCTTGACTTCCTGCACGCCACACCCAGAAATGTAAGTCCCTATTTACTCCCTTTCTTAATAGTCATAGGTTTGAACAATACAGTTTCAATGTAATAGTAAATTTTGTGATTTGCGTAACTTTTGCAATGAATAATGTCTTAGGTCTTATAAACTTCCTTTACTCTAGATGTCATTATCTAAATGTAAAATGCAACTGTAGCTTAAGTTCTATACAATACATAGCTGATCACATAGCTAATGTATAGGAATTGACAACTTTGGATTATAAAAGTGGACTGCGAAACCTGAAGGGTGGGCAGAACCATTTTAGAAAGACCTTGAGTTCCTGGAATTCAAATTCCCTTTTTCTTTCTTTTGTTTTGTTTTTTTGGAATCAGAGTCTCACTCTGTCACCGAGGCTGGAGTACAGTGGCAAGCTCAGGGCCACCCCAGCTGGGCTAAGATGATCCTTCCACCTCAGCCTTTCAAGTAGCTGGAACTACAGGCATGCATCACCATGCCTGGGGGGCTAATTTTTTTTTTTTTTGTATGCATTGTAGAGATGAGGTCTCACCAAATTGCCCAAGCTGGTCTCAAACCCCTGGGCTTAGGCAATCCTCTCACCTTGGCCTCCCAAAGTGCTGGGATTATAGGCTTGAGCCACTGCACCTGGCGAAATAAACTTCTTTCTACCGTTTCCCTGCCCCTTTGATTTATTGTTATCAAGGGAGAGTAGCTGAGTGTTACTCAGACCATAACAGCACTATATATTGAAGGCTAAGTTGACAAGATTTGCAGATAGGATGTAAGAGAAAGAGAGACATAGATGTTGACTCGAAAATTTTTAGCAAGTACAGCTGGGCAATGGTGGTGCTATTTAATGAGATAGGGAATTTTGGAGAGGAGCAGTTTTGAATTGAAAACAGACTATGGCATAGTGTCTGGTTTTGGACATGTTAAATCTGAAAGATTTGCTAGACATATCTAAGTATAGATATCAAGTAAGCAGTCTAGAGTTCAGGGGAGATGTTGGAGCTAGATATAAACATGTTAGACTGTATAGAATATTTAAAGCCATGACACTGGATAAGATCTCCTAGGAAGTGAGTCAGGCAACAAAGAGAAAAAAATTATATGATTTGTGCTCTAGATCTTCTAGCATTTAATTGTTAGGAAGATGAGCTGGATCCAGCAGAAGAATATGAGGAGAGGTTGAGCACAGTGTCTCGTGTCTATAATCCCAGCACTTTGGGAGGCTGAGGCAGGAGGATTGCTGGATTGCTAGAACCCAGGAGTTTGAAACCAGCCTGGGCAAGACCTCCTCTCTTTCAAAAAAAAAAAAAAAGGAGTGACTAGGAAGGAGAGGGTGGGATCCTGGAAGCCAATCAAAAAAAGTATTTTGTTGGTGCTCAGAAACTGCTACCCCAAAATACAGCATTTTGACATGCTGAACTAAATAAGAAGCCTCAGGTCTCTCTGACCTCTCCCCACACTGACTCTCTCAAAGATGAAGTTGACGTTGGTTTTTTTTTTCTCAATCTGCTTAAGATCCAAATCCACCTAAAGGAACATTATTTTTTTATTCTCCTCCCTATATGACCAAGAATATAGCCTGAACAGACCCTTTCACAAGGAAATGTACAAATTAGTCTCTCCTCCTGGATCTAACAATTCTCCCTGGTAATCCTTTATCGTTCTTCTGTGGAATTCCTCTCCTTCTCCCTCCCCCACCCATAACCTGGTTTGGCCACGTTGGGGATTGGGTGGGTAATCACTCTGTTGTTCTCTTG